ACACACACTCTCTCTCTCTCACACACACACACACACACACACTGTTTTCAGTATTAGTACATTTGTTGTGTGTTTTTGTCATTTTTAGTTTTTGTTTTTAATGTCTTAGTTTTTATTCGTTTTTATGTCATTTTTAGTTATTTAAGTATACATCAGGATAAAGTTAAATGAGAAATAAATAAATTAAAAAATGCATACATGAACGAGTCACCGTGATACTGGTTTAATGATCATTATATTTGATCAGTATTATTTGTAGAGAGCAGCTCTGAAAGCAGTTTTGGATCATTTAAATGTGTCAGATGAGTGGAGTGGGAGTATATATATTATAAGCTCAAATACAGCTGACATGAGTTATTCACAGACTAACACTGAATGAAGTCATTATTTCATGGAAGCTTTAAAAGGCAGATTTTCTTTGTAGCAAGACACTGAACATTATTCTCAGGTTTCAACATGTTTCACTAGTTTAGTCTAGGACTAATGAAACTTTACTATGAAGTTTAGCTGTGAGAAAACTGCAAAAAATGATGTTCTTATTCAGTATTTTGGTCTTGTTTTCCAGTACAAATATCTAAACATTCTTAAATCAAGATGCATTTACTTGAGAAGCAAAAGAGTCTTATTTTCTAAAAAAAAAAAAAATGCATCTAAATAAAGTGAGCTTATGCCTAACAAGAAAATATCTGCAAATGAATCTTAATTCAAAAGGAAAGCCTGATTATTTTTTTTCTGACCACACAGATGTTAGTTCTTGTTTTAAGCATGATGCATTTTTTTTTTTTAGAAAACAAGACTTTTTGCTTCTTTGCTTTGCAAATATGGCTCAGAAGCACTTCTGAAGTGGCGTTTTCGTGTCTTTACTCAGACTGTTTAATGCTGCTTAGAGGTGGCATAAATGCATTTCAGAAATTAGAATTGAATACTTTAATACAGGAGCTGAGGTGGGTCAGAGCAGGCTTAATTTTGTCTTTAATGTGGCACAGAGCAGCCTTAACTCAGCTGTGTAAAGATGCCTTTAGATTCACTTTTCAAACATGCGATGTATTATTCAGCTCCATTCACACTGAAGACATCATGCCTCTGTCCAGAGCTGCTCATTTGCATATTAATGAGAAGGAAGGGGAGGGGCTTTGGCAGCTGTTGACCAAGAATAACAGATAGTGTCTTAGTTTAAATTACACTGAACACATGTATAGACAGAGAACTTGTCTTTTCTTCTGCTGGAAGAACATGTGAATGAGAATAATGACCAACAAGAACCGTCTCTCCTTCAGTCTGTGAGATCATGCAAACGAGTGTTGAGGCTGTTTGCTGTACACTAAGTGTTTTAATGTTTTTGAAAGAAGTCTCTTCTGCTCATCAAGGCTGCATTTGTTTGATCAAAAATACAGTAAAAATTGTGAAATAGTATTACAGTTTAAAATAACTGTTTTCTCTGTGAATATGTTGTAAAATGTAATTTATTTCTGTGATCGAAGCTGAATTTTCAGCATCATTACTCCAGTTTTCAGTGTCACATTTATTATAAATTTATTATTATCAATGTTGAAAACAGCTCAGAGTTATTTTTGTTAACTAAAACTAAAATAATTTTTAAAAATCATAAATTGAAAGCAACAGAAATAACATAAAATATATAAAAATATTCTTTGTAAATATTTTTTATAAAAATGATAATATATACAGAATTTCTATAAATATTTTTTAGCTATTTGCCAAAGCAACATTTCTCTTTTTTGTTTAGTTTTAATAAAGTACTAAAATAGCTTAAACTAAACAAAAACTAGAAATATAAAAAAATAAGTAAAAATAAAAAACTAATAAAAATGACAAAAACAACAGAATTACTAAAACTTTCACCAAAAATTAAAATGAAAAGTGATAAAATAAAAATAATTAATTCAAAATATTAACAAAAACTATAATAGTTTATCAATGATACTAAAATGGTTCTGCTTTTTTTTTTTGACGAATAGAAAGTTCAAAAGAAGAGCATTTATTTATTTGTTTATTTATTGTAGCAATGTAAAAGTCAATCAATTTAATGCATGCTTGTTGAAATTAAACATGCATTAACATGTGTTGCATCAGGTTTGATGTTGAATAAGGTTTCAGAGCTGCAATAAAAGGAAATATTATTAGTGAACAACAACCGTGGCTCTATTCCTCACAGATAAATATGGTTTGGCTCACAGTGTGATTTTTGAAGTTTGCCGGTCCAAGTCACCATTTATTTTGTGTACTGTATGTAAAACAGCTTATTTTTTACGTTCAAAATTTCTCCTTTTAAGTTTTGTTGAGGAAAGAAAAACAGGTTCAGGACAGGCAAATGATGGCAGAATTTTCATTTAAGGATGAACTATTCTTGTAAACACAATCATTTATTAGTACAGTGATTATCAGCATAATGAACATGTTAAACGAGAGGAAATGCTGCTGATGCTGAGGATGATGATGATGAGTGTTTGTTGTTGTTCTGCTGTGTTTGAATGTAATGAATCAGAGAGTCATCGTGTCAGAAATCATACACTGCTTTTATCAATCAGTCGCTGTTTATGCAGAACACAGTGATGATTTCCAGCAGATGTTAACGGCCTCGTCTCATTAGCGCACTCCTGAAACACTGATAATTGTGTGCTTACACTCTGATCTGTGTGTGTGTGTGTGAGTGAGTGAGTGTGTGTGTGTGTGTGTGTGTGTGTGCGTGTGCGAGTGTGTGCGTGTGTGCGTGTTTGTGTGTGTGTGTGAGTGTGTGTGTGCACCTGGTATTCATCACGTTATGGGGACCAAATGTCCCCACAAGTATAGTAATACCAGTAAATTTTGACCTTGTGGGGACATTTTTGAGGTCCCCATGAGGAAACAAGCTTATAAATCATACAGAATGAGTTTTTTTGAGAAAGTAAAATAGCACAAAGTTTCCTGTAACGGGTAGGTTTAGGGGTAGGGTTGGTAAAGGGCAATAGAATATACGGTCTGTAAAGTATAAATTATGTGTGTGTGTGTGTGTGAGTGTGCGTGTGTGCGAGTGTGCGAGTGTGTGTGTGTGTGTGTGTGTGTGTGTGAAATGATTTCATACCTAAAGATGCTGTCGCTTTTCCAACCACATAAACTGACTTTTCATTCCATTTGTCTTTCACTGCGTCCCATTCTGTAGAACAAAAACAACATAAATGAACTACAATACTACAAATACTATGCTAAACTGTCATAATATATTTGTCACAACACAAAATAAAACTGTAATGGTCCAAAATCAGGCATTTTCTTGAAGTGTCTTCATCATTTTAATCATCCATCCAACCATTTATTATGAAAAGTGATAAAAACTGTGGCCTGTAGTGGCTGAGATTACTGTGAGCACTTACTAAACTCTTATTCTCTTATACAGACAGTAACATTTACATGCATGCATTTGACAGATGCTTTTATCATTGTATTCAAGCTAAACTTTTTTTAATTCATGCATTCCCTAGAAAATCAAAGACAGAAACACTGCTTTAATGTTTGAGAATTAATATAACTGAATTAATATAAATATAATAATATAAATATATGAATGAAATAATGCCCCACATTTATGAGTTTCTACATCTGAAAGATCATCAGCACTTTTCATATTATCCTTCCACACACTTACACATAACAACTAATTCATTTTATAACTTTTATTGCAGTTCAAGGTTATTTATAGCTGAAACTATAATTAAAACCATTAAAAAACATGTTTGTTACTTGAAATAAAATAAATGTTAACTGTGAAAATAAAATATAACAAATATTGAATTTCTTTTTATCTCAGCTAGTTGCCATGCCAACATTTCTCATTTAATTTGGCTTAATTTGAAATAACAAAAACTAAAACTGAAATAAAAATGAATTAAAACTATACAGACAAACTGCTAAAGATGACAACAATACAGAGCAAAATCACTAAAACATTAACTAAAATTCAAATGAAAATAGAAAAATATAAACTGATTCAAAATATTAATACAAACTATAATGATACTAAAATAACTCTGCATTTGTAAATCCTATATGGCAGAGTTGCTCTTTTGTTCAAATTAAATTTTATGACATACTATAATATATAACAAAAAAATAACATATTAGCCATCCAATATGAAGCAAAAACATCTCCAGAGGCTTGTAGCATGGTTTCCTGCATCTGCTGATCCAGACTCACTGTGTCTGTGTTTCTGAGAGTCTAAGCAGCTCTTCACGGCCTCCACGGCTCCAACGCTGCTGAAGATCAGACCTCCAAACCTCTCGGGCTCAAAGAGCTGGTGTTTCCAGAGCGCAAGCACAAAGAGTTCATATCTAATAAACCACAACAACATTATTCCACTTCAGGGGCCAGTTTAGTCTGGATCAGAATTATCTGGATTTGGAGATCCCATGTTTATCGATCCAGGATCAGGGAACACATCTTAGTTTTGTGCTGGTTTTTCAAAGCAAAACTGGATTGGATCACTCTGATCCAGATACACACTTTTCCAGATTTCTGAATCTGGATTACTAGAGCTCTACGGCGCCCCTAAAGGGACATGATGATGGAGGAAAACATGCTAATGTTTTGCATTGCATTTACACAAATAACTGCTTCTGACTGCTCCATCTCTGATGATTGTGCCAATGTAGTTTACAATCAGTGATTAAAAAAAAACTTTAAATATAATATTTTAGTTTGATTTTGATTTTGATTGACAGCTGTTTGGGAATTTGGGTATACATTACATGTTACAAATAGTGCTGTAAAAATGTTTGTATATGTATGTGTATATTATGTATATATATAAATACACACATACAGTATATATTTTGAAAATAT